AGCTTGGGGGTGCTGAGCCTGAGGGTGCGGAGCCTGGAGGTGCTGAGCCTGAGCGTGCGGAGCCTGGGGGTTATGAGCCTGGGGGTGCTGAGTCTGGGGGTGCTGAGCCTGGGGGTGCCGAGTCTGAGCGTGCTGAGTGGGGGTGCTGCACCGGAGCGTGCTGAGCCTGGAGGTACTTTGCCTGCTGGAGGTGCTGGAGCCGCTGGTCCCGGAGGTGCTCGTACTGGAGGTACTGAAGTTGCTGGGGCTGGAGGAGCTGCTGGACCTGGTGGTACTGCTGCCGGAGGTACTGGGGCTGGAGGCCCTGGAGCTAGTCCCTGGAGTTGGAGACCCTGGAGCTGGAGGTGCAGGTTCTGGGGGTGCTGCCGCTGGAGGTACTGGGGCTTGTGACCCTGGAGATGGAGGTGTCGGTTCTGGGGGTGCTGCTGCTGGTGGTGCTAGAGCTGGAGGTGCAAGAGCTGGAGGCACTGGAGCTGGGGGTGCTGACGCTAGAGGTGCTGACGCTGGAGGTGCTGGAGGTGCTGGAGCTACTAGTGCTAGTGGCGCTGCTCAGCCGCGGCTGTTCTTCTCTCCGCCGTCACCGTCGTCTCTGCCACCGCCTGACTCTGTGCTTCACCAGGTTCTTAGCCTCCCGTCTTCTACTGGCCTCCCGTTACAGCCAGGCTCCCCACTGCCTGCTCCCTCTCCTTACACTGAGCAGACAGGAGGTCTTACTGAGCGTCGCGAGCCTGCGTCCCGTCCTGCCTCGCCTATTTGCACTGGTCGCACTGGTCACACTGGTCGTGTTTTTCGTGAGCGTCCGCCTCCTGTCCCTGGCACACACACTATGGCACTTCGTCCTTCCTCTGTTCCACAGCGCGTTCCCCTGCTGTCTCCTCCTGTCTCTTCCGCACGTTCCGGACCCTGAGTCTGACCTGGTTCGTGCTGCTCACCCTACTGTCACGCGTCTGTTAGCCACTGTTGTCACTGACCCGTCGTTTGAGTCTGCTGCTACGTCTGCCTTAGTCACTGAGCTTGTTGACTTTGCTGCTGCTTGTCGTCTCGACTACGCCGCTAGTCTTGTTGCTGAGTCAGAGTCTGTCTGTCCTCCGTCCGTCGGGGTTGAGTGTGCTCTTGGCACGGACGTCCTTGAGGACAGCCAGGAGGATTTTGAGTGTCTTGCGGCCGCTGCGCCTCATCTCGTGGCCATGCTGCTTGCCCCTGAGGGAGACCCGGATGCACTGGACATCCCGACCCCACGCTCTTACGCAGAGGCGATTACAGGTCCCTACTCCGCTTCGTGCCAGACAGCCATGGACGCAGAGATGGCATCCTGGAAGTCCACACGCACCTACATCGACGAGGTTCCCCCTCCTGGGGCAAACATCGTCGATGGCATGTGGATTTTCAGGGTGAAGCGGCCGACGGGTTCTCCGCTTGTCTTCAAGACTCGTTACATTGCACGAGGTTTCAGTCAGCGACAGGGAGTTGACTTCTTCCAAACCTTCTCCCCTACCCCGAAGATGACCACTCTTCGGGTGCTGCTGCACGTTGCGGCTCTGCGGGTTTACGAGCTTCACTCTCTTGACTTCAGCACAGCGTTCTTACAGGGCAGTCTGCACGAGGAGATCTAGCTGCGCCGCCCACCTGGCTTTACTGGGTCGTTCCCTCCTGGTACCCAGTGGAGCCTCCGCCGGCCAGTCTACGGTCTCCGTCAGGCGCCTTGTGAGTGGCACGACACACTGAGGACGACACTTGCGGCTCTTGGGTTCGCTCCTTCGACAGCTGACCCGTCGCTGTTTCTGCGCACCGACACCTCGCTGCCGCCGTTCTACATCCTCGTGTACATCGACGACTTGGTCTTTGCCACTACTGACACTGAGGCACTCGCCTTTGTGAAGTCGGAGCTGCAGAAGAGACACACATGCACAGACCTGGGTGAGTTGCGAAGCTATCTTGGCTTGCAGATCACCCGGGACAGAGCACGGCGCACCATCACACTGACTCAGTCACACATGGTGCAGCAGATCCTTCAGCGCTTCGGCTTCACTTGGTCCTCGCCATAGTCCACTCCTATGGCTACCGGTCACTCGCTCTCAGCTCTGCCTTTGGATGAGTCCGTAGAGCCGAGTGGCCCGTATCCAGAGCTTGTGGGCTGCCTCATGTACTTGATGACCTGCACTCGACCTGACCTTGCGTACCCTCTTAGCATCCTGGCTCGCTACGTTGCACCTGGGAGACACCGGCGAGAGCACTGGGTGGCTGCTAAGAGGGTACTGCGCTACTTGTGCAGCACATCGGGCATGGGGCTCGTGCTTGGAGGACGGGGTGAGGTTGTCCTCACTGGACACTCGCAGCGGTCGTCACAGGGTTACACTTTCAGTCTTGGCTGCGGCTCTGTTTCTTGGCGGTCTACCCGCTCATCTTCTGTTCTCAGCTCCAGTTGTGAGGCTGAGATCTACGCCACAGCCATGGCTGCACAGGAGCTACGCTGGCTCACCTACCTGTTGACTGACTTGGGAGAGCGGCCTCGTTCCCCTCCAGTTCTGTACGTAGACAACAAGGCTGCCATTGCCTTGTGTCAGGAGCACAAACTGGAGCACAGAACAAAGCACATCGCTCTGCGTTACTTCCTGGCTCACGTGGACACTCGGGCCAACACTGCTGATATATTCACCAAGGCGCTTCCGTGTGGTGATCATCAGCGTCTGTGTATTCTATTAGGCCTGGTGCCAGTTTCGTCTCACTTGCTCACTTCTTGACCTTGCTTGTACTGTGATCTATATATATACATGCATGCTTGCTCTTGCTAGGTAGTGATCACTGTATTGTTGCTGTTGTATATATACTTCTGCATGTGAACTGGCCTTGTGGCCCATTGCTCGTGCTTGGAGTGTGTGGTGACGTTGCTATCCACCACGCTGCTGTAACTCTCGAGTAAGGAACTAACGCTAAGCGATGTGCTTCGTTCTGTGCTCCAGTCTGTGCTCCTGACACAAGGTAATAGCAGCCTTGTTGTCGACGTACAGAACTGGAGGAGAACGAGGCCTCTCTCCTAAGTGGGTCAGCAGATAGGTGAGCCAGCGTAACTCCTGTGCAGCCATGGCTGTGGCGTAGATCTCAGCCTCACAACTGGAGCTGAGAACAGAAGACGAGCGGGGCGCCAAGAGACAGAGCCAGAGCCAAGGCTGAAGGTGTAACCCTATGACGACCGCTGCGTAGCCAGGTCGTCAACCCAAGAAGCGTATGATTGTCCAGTGAGGACATCTAGACCCTGCCCTCCAAGCACGAGCCCCATGCCCGATGTACTGCACAAGTAACGCAGTACCCTCTTCGCAGCATCCCAGTGCACCTTTCGGTGTCTACCAGGAGCCACGTAGCGTGCCAGAAGGCCAAGAGGGTACGCAAGGTCAGGACAAGTGCAGGTCATCAGGTACATGAGGCAGCCCACTAGCTCTGGATACGGGCCACTTGGCTCTACGGACTCGTCCGAAGGTGGAGCTGAGAGCGAGTGACCTGTAGCCAGAGGAGTGGACTGTGGCGAGGACCAAGTGAAGCCGAAGCGCTGAAGGACGTGCTGCACCATGTGTGACTGAGTCAGGGTGATGGTGCGCCGTGCTCTGTCCCGAGTGATCTGCAAGCCAAGGTAGCTGCGCAGCTCACCCAGGTCTGTGCACGTGTGCCTCTTCTGCAGCTCCGACTTCACAAGGGCGAGTGCCTCAGTATCAGAGGTGGCAAAAACCAAGTTGTCGACGTACACGAGGATGTAGAACGGTGGCAGTGAAGTGTCGGTGCGGAGAAACAGCGACGGGTCTGCAGTCGTCTTCAGTGTGTCGTGCCACTCACGAGGCGCCTGGCGGAGACCGTAGACTGGCCGTCGGAGGCTCCACTGGGTACCCTCAGGAAACGACCCAGTGAAGCCAGGTGGACGGCGCAGCCAGATCTCCTCGTGTAGGCTGCCCTGTAAGAAGGCTGTGCTGAAGTAAAGAGAGTGAAGCTCGTAGTCACGCTGAGCGGCAACGTGCAGCAACACCCGAAAAGTGGTAATCTTCGGGGTAGGGGAGAAGGTCTGGAAGAAGTCAACTCCCTGTCGCTGACTGAAGCCTCGAGCAACGTAACGAGCCTTGAAGACAGGCGGAGAACCCGGCGGCCGCTTCACCCTGAAAATCCACATGCCATCGACTATGTTCGCCCTAGGAGGGGGAACTGCGTCAACGTAAGTGCCTGTGGACTTCCAGGATGCCATCTGTGCGTCCATGGCTGTCTAACACGAAGAAGAGTAGGGACCCGTAATCGCCTCTGCGTAAGAGCGCGGGGTCGGGATGTCCAGTGCATCCGGGTCTCCCTCAGGTGCAAGCAGCATGGCCACGAGATGAGGTACAGCAGCCGCAAGACACTCAAAGTCCTCCTGCGTGTCCTCAAGGACGTCCGTGCCAAGAGCACACTCACCCCCGAAGGACGGAGGACAGACAGACTCAGATTCAGCAACAAGACTAGCGGCGTAGTCGAGACGACAAGCAGCAGCAAAGTCAACAAGCTCAGCAACTAAGGCAGACGCAGCAGTCGACTCAAACGAACGGTCAGTGAGAACAGTGGCTAGGAGACGCATGAGAGTAGGACTGGCAGCACGAACCAAGTCAGACTCAGGGTCCGGAACGTGCGGAAGAGAGGACTCAGGAGGAGACGGCAGAGGGACACGCTGTGGAACAGAGGAAGGACGAAGTGTCATAGTGTGAGTACTAGGTGTCGCGATAGATATTTATATATGTTTATAACTGCTTGTAGCTTTAGCTTTAGTGTAGTTATACAAACCTGGTTGGTGGTGCACCTCTTGTTTGTTTGCTTTATGTACCTTTGGTCCTATAGTGAACACAATTATTTCTCGTCAATCTCCTTGCAGACAACTCTCGATTCCCGCTTGGCCTAGGCTTCTAAGCCTATGCCCTCGTTAAACCCGGTTACCAGTTCAGATCGCATCGTAACATGGTATCAGAGCTAGGTTCGATTAGGACCGTTTTCAAATGGGCCCACCATTAACGCTCGCAATGGCGCACCCTTTAGTGCGACTCGTGAGCGCTTTCCCGTTTTCAGCCCGTCGCCCGCGCATTACCAGCAACGCACGCCACCGCGCACGCCAGGAACGCACCAGGAACACCAGGAATGGACCCGCCAGCGTGCACGCCGACGGACCCGCCAGCAAACCCGCCGACGAACCCGCCAACGGGAGCGCCAGCAAGCCCACCGATGGACCCGCCGGCGGACCCGCCAGTGCGCGCGTTAGCATGCCTGCCGACGAACCCGCCGACGGACCCGCCAGCGCTCGAGTCAACACGCCCGCCGATGAACCCGCCATCTGGTCCGCGAGCGAGCCCGCCAATGGACCCGCCACTGTCACGCTGCCTCGTCGCAGCTCCGTGGCGCGGAAACAGCGGCGGTCGTAGTGGGGCCGAAGAGGAGAGGGGGAGGGAGTGGCGGCCGCCAGCGCCAGCATCCGCCAGTCACGCCTCCTCCCCGCCCTCTCTCCCGTCGACTTCGCAGCTGCTGTGAAGGGAGTGGCGGGAGTGGCGGGGGTGATGGGAGTGGCGGGAGAAGCTGCTTCTACGCCGCTACATGCACCAGATCGCTCGCGACCCGGACCTTGCACCCAATCCGACCCCGTGGCACCAACAGTGGACCCTACTACCCCGCCCGTTCCAGTCCCTGGCCCGCCCAGCACACCACCCCTGCCATCGGACCTGCCAGCCGCCAGCACCAGCACCAGCACCGACGCGAGTCACCAGCGCCGTCACGCCAGCACCAAGCACCGACACCAGCGCCGCCGCGCTAGCAGAGACCCCGCCAGCAGAGACTCCTGTTGAAACTAACTGGCAGGAATGAGAATGACTAGCAAGAATGTGAGTACAAATATGCAACCCTAGAGTTTGTGTACCCCCTAAAGGCTAACCCACTGTAGCCTAAACAACCACAACATATATAATGTTTGACACACCCCCATAGGCAAAGTGGGGGAGAACAAGGGGTCACAAGACCAGTCAGAGCAAAGCAAAGCACAAGCAAGCTCAGGGTGGATCTCAAGGGATACCACACAAATTCCGAGCACAAGCAAGTGGTCACAAGACCAGTTCACATGCAGTTTGATAGTAGAGCAAGAGGTACAGTGATCACAACCTAGCAAGTGAAAGCTTGCATGTATATATATAGAGATCACAGTACAAACAAAGTCAAGAAGTAAGCAAGTGAGGTCCAGTAGGCACAAGGCCTAGAAGAGTACAGAAGCGCTGATGGTCACAAGACTGAAGCGCCTTGGTGAAAACGTTAGCAGTGTTGGCCTGAGTGGCCACGTAACGCAGACAAAGCTGACCACGCTGCTGCAGCTCACGAGCCAGAAAGTACCGCAGAGCGATGTGCTTCATTCTGTGCTCCAGTCTGTGCTCCTCACACAAGGCAATGGCAGCCTTGTTGTCGACATACAGCACTGGAGGAGAACGAGGCCGCTCTCCCAAGTCGGTCAGCAGGTAGGTGAGCCAGCGTAGCTCCTGGGCCGCCATGGCTGTGGCGTAGATCTCAGCCTCACAACTGGAGCTGAGAACTGAAGAAGAACGTGTAGAACGCCAAGAAACTGAACCGGAGCCAAGGCTGAAGGTGTAACCCTGAGACGACCGCTGCGTGGCCTGGTCGTCCGCCCAAGAAGCGTCTGAGTGTCCAGTGAGAACAACTCGGTCTCGCCCTCCAAGCACTAGCCCCATGCCCGACGTACTGCACAAGTAGCGCAACACCCTCTTAGCGGCATCCATGTGCTCCTTCCGGTGACGGCCAGGAGCGACATAGCGTGCAAGGATGCTAAGAGGGTATGCAAGGTCAGGACGAGTGCAGGTCATCAGGTACATGAGGCAGCCCACAAGCTCTGGATACGGGCCACTCGGCTCTACGGACTCATCCGAAGGCAGAGCTAAGAGCGAGTGACCGGTAGGCAGAGGAGTGGACTGAGGCGAGGAGTACGTGAAACCGAAGCGCTGAAGGACCTGCTGCACCATGTGTGACTGAGTCAAGGTAATGGTGCGCCGTGCTCTGTCCCGGGTGATCCGCAAGCCAAGATAGCTTGTCAGTTCACCCATGTCTGTGCACGTGTGTCTCTTCTGCAGCTCCGACTTCACGTGGGCGAGAGCCTGAGTGTCAGCAGTGGCAAAGACCAAGTTGTCGACGTACACGAGGATGTAGAACGGCGGCAACGAAGTGTCTGTGCGCAGAAACAGCGACGGGTCAGCAGTAGAAGGCGCGAACCCAAGTACCGCAAGTGTAGTCCTCAGTGTGTCGTGCCACTCACGTGGCGCCTGGCGGAGACCGTAGACCGGCCGGCGGAGGCTCCACTGGGTACCAGGAGGAAACGACCCAGTGAAGCCAGGAGGGCGGCGCAGCCAGATCTCCTCGTGCAGACTACCCTGCAAGAAAGCTGTGCTGAAGTGAAGAGAGTGAAGCTCGTAGTCACGCTGAGCGGCTATGTGCAGCAGCACCCGAAGAGTGGTCATCTTCGGGGTGGGGGAGAAGGTCTGGAAGAAGTCGACTCCCTCACGCTGGCTGAAGCCTCGAGCAACGTAACGCGCCTTGAAGACAGGCGGAGAACCCGGCGGCCGCTTCACCCTGAAAATCCACATGCCACTGACGATGTTCGCCCCTGGTGGGGGAACAGCGTCGACGTAGGTGCCTGTGGACTTCCAGGAAGCCATCTCTACGTCCATGGCTGTCTGCCACTGAGAGGAGTAGGGACCCGCTATCGCCTCTGCGTAAGAGCGCGGGGTCGGGATGTCTGGTGCATCCGGGTCTCCCTCAGGGGCAACTAGCATGGACACGAGATGAGGTAAAGCAGCAGCAAAGCACTGGAACTCCTCCTGCCTGTCCTCAAGGACGTCCGTGCCAAGAGCACACTCACCCCCGACAGACGGAGGACAGACATGTCAAACATTATATATGTTGCGCTTGTTAGGCTACAGTGGGTTAGCCTATATGGGGTACAGAATTCTAGGGTTTGCTATTTGTACTGAGTCCTCTGTTAGTTCAATCATTCCAGTCTCGTAATTTTGACATGGTTTCAGAGCAGGTCCTTCCCTAGGACCGTTCTTAAGGGCCCACCGTACGATACCTACCTACCTACCTACCGGAGCGCGTTCTTAGCGTCTCCCCCGTAGCGCCCTCGCGAGCGTTACCTTTTTTTTCCCGGCCCCGCTGGCCCCGTCGATTGCGATCGCACCTACCGGCCCCGTTGGCCCTCTAGCGAACCGCCCGCGAACCGCCCGTGAACTGCCCGCGCGGCCTGCGCGCCGCCCGCGAACCGCCCGCGAACCGCCCGCGAACCGCCCGCGCGGCCTGCGCGCCGCCCGCGAACCGCCCGCGAACCGCCCGCGCGGCCTGCGAACCGCCCGCGAACCGCCCGCGAACCGCCCGCGCGGCCTGCACGCCGCCCGCGAACCGCCCGCTACCTGCTTGCGCGGCCCGCACGCAGCCTGCTGCCGGCCCGCCGCTGCCGCTCGTGCGCACCCGCAGCCGCCGCCGCACGCACCCGCTGCCGGCCCGCCGCTGCCGCCCGTGCGCACCCGCAGCCGCCGCCGCACGCACCCGCTACCGGCCCGCCGCTGCCGCCCGTGCGCACCCGCAGCTGCCGCCGCACGCCCTCGCCTGCCGGCCCGCCGCTGCCGCCCGTGCGCACCCGCAGCCGCCGCCGCACGCCCTCGCTGCCGGCCCGCCGCTACTGACTGTCCGCACCTGCAGCCGCCACCGCACACCGCTACTGCCGGCCTACCACCGCAGCCCGTGCGCCCCTGCGACTCCTGCTAGTGCGTCTTTACAGCTACAGCGGCCCTACTCTGTCTACTACTGCTACTATCGCTATGGCTAGCCCTCCCGTTCTAGCTTTCGACGCCGAGGGCCGTCCAGTGAAGTTCGAAACCTGGCTCGATGACCTGCACCTGTTCCTACAGCTCACGGCCAAGGAGGATATTTCTCTGTACGACCATGCTCTCGGCCACGCTACTGCCCCTCTTACTACTGCTCCCCCCACTGAGCGCTCACAGTGGCAGACACGTGACGCGCACGCTCGCTTCGCCATACGCAACTCCCTGCCGCTAGATGAGCGCGAGCACTTCGGCCAGTGCAAGACTGCTAAGGAACTGTACACCGCTGTCGTTGCCCGCTACTCCTCACCCGCTTCTGCCACGCTAGGCCGCCTCACTCTCCCCTACCTGTTCCCCGACCTGGCCTCCTTTCACACTGTCGCAGACCTCATCACCCACCTTAAGACTAGTGAGGCCCGCTTTCGCGCTGCCATGCCTGACGAGTTCCTCGCTAGCAACCCCCCCCCGCTCTGGATCACTCTCTACCACATCGTCACTCGCCTCCCTGACTCTCTGCGCGCAGTCAGGGACCACTTCCTCTCTCGCTCCCCCACCGAGCTCACCGTAGCCCTCCTCGAGAAGGAACTGCTTGCAGCTGAGGCCAGTATCGTCGCTGTAGGCACCTCTCGTGGCGACCCCCGCACCCCGTTCTTTGAGGGGTGTTCCCCTTCCCCCCTCCTCCCCTCTGTCGCCTCTGCTGCTGCTGTCGACCTTCTTGGTGCTGAGAAGGTCGGGACCGCGTCTGCTTCGAGCGGGCGCCGCAGGAACAAGGGGGGCAGGGGTGGGGGTGGCGGCGGAGGAGGTGGGGGTGGAGGCGGTGGGAGTGGAGGCGCGGCTGGGGAGACTAGTGGCTGAAGTGGGGGAGGAGACAGCAGCGGTGGGAGTGGTGGTGGAGGCAGCAGCGGAGGCGGAGGTGGTCGTGGCGGCGGCAGGGGTGGAGGTGGCCGGGGCGGCGGCGGTGGGGGTGGTGGTCGTGGAGGCACTGGCGGAGGCCCGAGTCAGCAGCCCGCCCCGACGCTTCAGGCCGCCCGTGAGTGGTATGCGCAACGTAGTATGCGTTACCTGCACGTACGTTATTCGCACAGGTGACCGCAGCGGCCAGCAGTGTGGGAGGCCGCACCCCACGCAGCGCTGCTTCGCGCGCCTTAACGACGCGTGGCGCACTCAGTTTCCTACTGCCACTGAGCTGCCGCGCTGGGCTGATCTGGAAAAGAGGGGTGTTGATATTTGGGCTTTAGACTTTGATGCTATTCTCACTGCCATGTATGCGATGTCTATTAGTGGAGAGGGTGCTCAGTACTTGCGTGTTCCGCCCGACCCGGGCATTCAGGCCAGTCCGGCTGCCGCTCTAGGTGCTAGTGCGTCTACTCCCACAGGTCCTGGTGAGGCCGCTGCCCTAGGTGCTCGTGCGTCCGTGCCCCCTGGTACTGAGTCGACTGCAGCACTGCACACCTTCACACTGGACTCAGGTGCTTCTCGCTCCTTCTTTCGTGATCGCACTGTCCTTGAGCCACTCGCTCGGCCAGTTGCTGTCTCCCTTGCTGACCCCTCTAGGG